CCGCTTTGCAACAATTAGCCAATTTCGGCCTTTTCCCACCCAAAATTCCCCGAGCACACGCTCCCCTCCCGCCCGGGGAGGGCGAAAGCCGGCAGCGGGGACACAGACTGAAAAAAGAGAGCACACAACGAGCTTCGTGTTTTTTGTTTTTCTTTGTTTTCTTTTTTTTCCTTTTTTTTTTTTTTTTGTTTTTTCTTTTTGGGGTTGTTTTTTTGCATTTTTTCTGAAGGCTGGTCAAGAGGTAGGAAAGAAAAGGTCGGTTTTGGCCTCTGAACGTTGCAAAAGATCAGGGTTGCAGAGCTCCGGTTGCCTTCCGCTTACCCGGGTAAAACGCACTCCCAGCACCCACCCGGGATAGTGGGGGAAATTTTACACAATTATTTAAAACCAAGAGAGGATCAACTTTGTATTCCAAGACTGCCCGAGTGTATAGTTGATAGTTTCACGGTAAAAAAAGTAATTAAAAAATTAAAAAACCATGAAGATTTGAGGCATAACTCACATTGAAGGACTCTGCATCCGACCTTCAAACAACAAAACGTACAAAGGCGGCGAACGGTTGTGCAAAATATTAATTTGCTAAAATATTTTACATACTTAGTACATGGAAATGTAGAAATCGGTTAAAAAAAAAAGAGAGGAAAAACCCCAATGGTTGGTAGGAATTTATCACTTTTTAGTACGGGTCGCAAGAGGATTTTCCTTGTCCCGGGGGGGAAATCCTCGCTCAGGAGGGGAAGCGGGCGCCGGCTCGCCCCGCGTCCCCTTTTCCCCAGCGTAAGGCAAAGACGACCCTGAAAAAGACGCTGAGATACAAAACCGGTGTAAATGGAGAATTTCTCATCGAAAAAAACCAACAAAAGCGGAGAGACGGAGGCTTTATACAAGAGGCTTTTTTAAAACAGACGGTGCAAAGGCTGAAGCCGCAGCGGCTTCAGGATTCACACGCTTTTGGCTTCTTATTTTTGTTTGTGTTTTTTTTTTTTTTTTTGTACAACGGTTTATAATACATTTTAAATCGTTGGGAATGCAAACTAGAACGGCACGCTACTTCCGAAGAAAGGAAAGAAAAACAAAACAAAACAACAACAACAACAACAATAACAACAACAACAAAAGAGTTGACATTGTGCAATTTGCTGCCCCAATTCTCAGCGGCAGTTAGTCCCTGCATTTGCTGTGTTTCAAAAACGTGGATCTTAAGAAACACGTAAAAGAGGAAAAAGAAGGCAAAAGTTGGCAGACATCCAGCATCTCGTTTTGTGATTTTTTCTTTTGTGGGTTTTTCTTTGTGTGGTTTTTTTTTTGTTTGTTTTTTTGTTTTTTGTTTTTTTTTTTTAAACAATGCGGATGACAATTTCATGATTAAAAACGCTTTTGTGTGTGTGTGTTTCTTTCTCTCTTAAATAAATACATCGTATCCGACGCTTGATCTGATAAATCTTGGCGCTGGACGAAGGCTCCGCCACGCTCCCGGTGGCCCCTGGCCCGCCGGTTTCAGAGTCCTCTCCTCCTCACGGCGTTTCGAAGCCTGCCACGCGGTATCCCGTTTGGTTGGTTATCACGCTCCCGTTCTGCCCCTGCGGGGGGGGCAGGTCTCAGGCCGGGGCCTCTCACGCACGCCGTAGCCGGCGCCCATCCACGCCGCCGAAGACTGCGTCTGACTGCGGGAGGGGAAAAAACAAACAAACAAACAACAAACCCTGGTTCGTTAGGTGAACGTGTCAGGAACGAGGGAGCGCGGGGCTGTCCTGGATCCGTACGGACGTTGCTCATCCCAAGTAACGAAGGACCAGAACGTCTCGGCAGCTTTTACGCCGCTGCGGACTGGGGATCGTCGCCTCCCCACCGGGGCGCAAACCGGCACAAAAAGCTCAAATACTCACTTAAAGCCCTGCTGATTCCACGCTTGCCCGTACATCCCGTAGGCGGGGACCTGCCAGCCGTTGGGCACGTACTGGCCGATCTGGGCATTGCCGTACCACTGGCCCCACTGCCCGTACGGCGGTGGGTAGCTGATCTGGTTCTGCAAGGGCAAACAAGCGGGTGTCAGAGCGGCGCCCGAGAGAGCGGCCATTTACTTCGACTGGCGAGACAGCCGCCTGCTGAGATGGCCACGCGGCCGGGCACCCTTCCTGAGCTAGCGAGCGATTAATGAGAGCACCCGGTCGCCTCTCCGGGCAACGGCGCGGTCGTCGCCTCAAATACCCAGCTCCCACCTCCGTGCCGCAGAAGACACCCCACAGGCTGGACAGTATTTTGCGAGCTTCCTGCAGAATTTTACATCACACGTTTTTGCCCAACAAGTGGGTTTTTTTGCATTCCCAGGGACTGAAAATCATTGCCCAGACTTCAGAGAAATACCCTCTGATGAAATAAGCCATAACGTAGGCGACGGGTGCTATGCCACATCTCTAACTGGCACGCATGTAGACTTTACAGCCACCTAACGGGTTTCTAGCAAAGACTAATTAGCAAAGCCATCGTCTTTACAGAGTTCTGACCTGCTGGACCGGACTGATCATGTCTGGCGTCTCCTTGCCCCAGTAGCACTTCACTACGTGTCCTTCGATGGTCGTCCCGTTGACGGAAACGATCGCATGCGCGGCACTCTCGTGAGAATTAAACCTGTCAAAATAGAAGCCGCGCCAATATAAGCAGCTCCCTCGGTGAGGAACAGGCACGAGTAACCCCGCGAGAGAGCCCCCACCAGCTCCGCACAGACTTGGGCTCTGGCAGAACACCAGCCCGACCGCAGAGGCTTTGTCCCGTCAGCCCCACAGCGGGCACCGCTCGGCTGCGGTCACGTTTCCTGTCTCGCTGTCCTAACTCTCCCTAAACAATTCAGCAGCAAGGAGAGCAAGTCGATCTACAGTTATTTTTTTAATTATCTGGAGCCTCGTTGATGAAGAGATGAGGATGCTTCTGGAAAAGACTCTAAAACTCGACTTTCTGCCTCGGTAACTCCACTGTGAAATTACACAAAAGGAAGGGACAGAGATCTCTTCCAGTGAAGGGCACCGCACCAGTTCAGGCTGGGTTTAGGGGTTTTTCCTACTCCTGCCCAGAGCGCTACAAGCTGTGACTCACTCCGCAGATCAGGCTGCCGTCTGAGAGGGCTGCGGTGAAGCACCCTCTCCCGTTCGGCACACACCCACCCGTGCCCTCCCTGCCGCCAGAAGCGTCCAAACCCCGATTTCTTATTAAATTCATCAACACGCGAACTGCACAACAGCCTACCGTACAAAGGAGTAGCCTTTATCGGGGAAAACTCGAATTTCCATTATTTGCCCGAAGGGAGAAAAGGTCTGGCGCATTAGCTGCTCTGAAGAGGAAGAAATGGAGCAGCAAAATGAGGCGACTGCCGTGTTAATTCAGAGACGCTCAACGCGACGGCAGTTGGAAGCCACGATACCTGTGAGTCCTGACGTCACACCCCCGCAGTACACAGTGCAGTTGCTCGGGCTGGACTGATTGACCACATCGTCGTAAGACAGTTGTTTGGTGTTTGCTTAAAGAGATTTTACAGAGCTTTTCAGCGGATCGGACACGGGTTACGTAGAAATTCTAATCCCGAGTGGCACGAGAGGTCGAGCGCAAACTGCAGACACCTATCAAGTAGGTCTGATACACCCAATTTAAAATCTCTCCAATGGAAATGCTCTCTTTGACACAGTCCCGCTTTGTATCACAACAGAAAGCCCTAAAAGCGAGGGAGCAAAGTTAAAAAGCCCGTCTCGTCCTTGGCTTAAACAGCCAAGAGAGAAAAGCAAGCTTCCGACCCGAGTGTGTGGAAGCCACAGGAATACCCCCTGTAGCGGTACTACAGTTGCTAATACCTAAGGTAATAAAAGCTAAGGTAATAAAAGCTAAGGAAGCTGCTTTACGGAGGAGGTTTGAACTGTTCGAGAGCGCCTTCGCTCCCGGTACCCGCTCTCCCTCTTCCCACAAGCTCCAAAGGGCAGCTCGCCCTTTTCTATTCCTCCCTGCGGGTGTGGCAGGAGGTTGGCAAGGGCACAAATCATTGGGAACCTACATTCGTATGTGCTCTTTGGAGCCGGAGGTTTTCTCGTCGCCCAGTTCGTTCTGATTTGCCTTCCACCGAGCCACTGACCGCCCATCTGCTGAATCGCGTTCTCCGCGTCCTGCCCACGAGAGAGGGAGGGAAGAAAACCCCACCGTCGGCGTCTCTTCCTTTTGCCACAGAGCCAAAGGAACGACATCGCCGTGCACTCGCCCCGTCCGACGTTTGCGACGTGCCGAAAGAAATCCTGCTTCACAAGAAGTGGGTTTAGGCAGGACGAAGGACACCGCTGGGCCTCACTGGGCACATCTAAGGCCCTCTTGATACATACCGCCGTGCTCTCGGGCACGTCCGTACATCGCTCATTTGGGTGTCACTTGCCACGTGCTTCAGAAACGTTGGAGCGTTGCACCCAGCAGAGAGAAAAGCCTCCCCCCTCAGCGGGAAACCGAAGCCGGCTCGGGTGCTCGAGGCCGTGCCGCAGCTTACCCATTTATTGAAGAAGGAGACGAAGCCATAGCCTTTCGATTTTCCCGTCGCCATGTCCTTGACCACACGCGCGTCTCTAAAAAGCAGAAACGAGAACCAGTTCAGCGCCTTCGAAAGTCGACCTTGCTACAACGACAACTCGAGTCACACGTACAGCTTATTTTCATGTTTCACCTTTACTAATGTCAACTGTTTATTGCACCAGCAACACAGTCAAAGCAAAAGGCTTCTTTTCTAAACAGAACTTTACTAATGCTTTGCCAGGTAGTAGCAAAATTAAACTTAATTGTGTAAACATGCAAATCAATAGCTTCTCTAACAAACGTATGTACTTTACGACAGTTGGCTCCCGCTTCAAAATGCTTTTACGGACTGTTAAGACACAAAGCATGGTCAAAGCAGCTATTCAAAAAGAATCACTTAAGGCACATAGCTGACTAACATTAGCTGAATGGCTCTCTTTAACCATGCAATTTTTAAACTCGCTATTTGCCAACACATTCTACCTACTCATTCAAAATATTAAATAGAAAAAATGAAAAAAAGATAGGAATTAAAAGGCATACGTCGCCTGTTAACCGAATTCTTTAATTTTCTCGGGTCAATTCGTTACCCCCTTTTTGGACTGTGGGCAGCTGTAAATTTTGAGAGATTGACATTTTCAGAAATTATTGAAGAAAATAAAACACCGAAACATTCACGTCTTAAACTACATATCACACATCATTTAAACTGCATTTGTACAACAGCAATCATACAGGACTGATTGGAAACTACAAGATATAAAAAAAGAAAAAAAATAATAAAATTTATAAAAGTAAATAAGAAAACTACAACGTTTGTCCACTGTGAACTGTAGCTTGTAGTTAGCCATGGCAATTCTGTCCATTCTTCAGAGACACTCTGCAAAATAACCAGAGCCCTATTATTTGAGATTGAGTTAAAAAGAGAACCCAGCTACAAGAGCTAAACCCCACTTGTGGAACGCCGTTCTACAGCGTTTCTCAGGCAATTTGCGTACAAGTTAGCCGAGGGTCGAGATGCTCTCGCGTACAGGCCACCCTCTCCTCCCCTCCTTTGCCCCACACATACAGGCATTAAAAAAGAACAGAAACGATAACATAAAACCAGTCAGAAAAGTCATGCAATGTAACTTACGGCTGTATAAAATAATAGGGTTCAGAGAAACTAGCGTTAACATGTGCACAACACTTAGCGTTCTGAGACTGGCAAGAAAAGTCACAATGAAGAGAAGGTTTGTTACGCTCGTGGATTTTTAAGCCTTACGGTAACCGCAAATGCCACGTTGTAAGCCTAACGCTGGCCTACGTTAGCCCACAGCGCCGACTCCGTCGCCGCAGCCCCGAGGCAAATACCCTCACCCAAAGCTACAGAAGAAACGTTATTTCTTTCCTCTTTGCGAGACCTCCCCCACCCCTTCCCCCTTTTTCCTTTCCCCCTTCTTGGGTTAGGTCAGATTTTGGGTCCTACGTTACAAATTGCCTGAGAAGAGCCACTTTGGTAAGCTTAGATGGGTTTGCTCTGAGGAGGAAGGGGGGGAAAAACTCATCTCTACTTACCCTCAACCGAAAACTTTGAAAATAAAGACTTGAGAACAAGTGAAAACATGCGTACAGCAAGCATAAAAGGAAACCACAATGAAAGTGTGCTTTTACAGTGATTAAAAAAATCCAGATGCAAAGAATTACCTAAATTTCTTATGCGCTAATCATGCAGTAGTTCAACCTCGGTGTCATTAAAAAAAAAAAGCTCAGTTTAGCACCACCAAAGACAATGTTAAAAAAAATAAAAATAAAAAAAATCAGGAAATATTCTATTAGCACCACATTTCCAGAGACTAGTCACTGATGAAGAACAGGTAAAGTCAAGTAACTTCATTTGACCACTTAAGAGACAGTAGCAATATTTTTGCAGGTTAAATTTAAACAAGTAGAAAATTGAGGTCCCTTTGGCTTTATTTAACCCCTGGGTTTTGGAACAAGAGCCCAAAAGAGTCGTTACGGGGACGATGCTTAATCTAGTACTTTCATGGGAGGAAAAGAACCGAGCTTTGGTTCGGGCAGTCAGTTTGAGCCGGGGCAAACTGCAAGTTTTCCATGTGTTAGCTCTACAGCTGTGTGCCGAGTGTCCCAAGAGCCGGAGCATCGCTCATCCTTCCCCGGCACCGCCACCACACAGCAACAGCTCATAAGAAAAAGCCCTCCTAGAAAAGAGGGGGCAAGGGGCACAGCCCCAGAAACACGGACCGTGGACCGATGTTCGCTGTGATTTTCTACTCCCCCAGCTGATATTCCGACGCTACTTTTTGCTTCAGGCTCGGGGCAGGGGGCTGGGTTTTTTTGGGGTCATTTGTTAAAGGTGACTGTCCATCAAACCGTCACCTCGGACACCCGGCGCTGACTAGGTAAGGGGAAACTCTCTTTCACAGCTCCACCGCAGTCCCACCAAGGCGGCCGTCTATTCCTGCCTCCCTTTCGCACTCATTCCAGCAGTTCAGCTCTACTTTAGAGTCCCTCGTCCCTTCCATCCAGACCACACTTGGCCAGAGGATAAATCGGCTCTCCTTAGGAGTCCGACCCTCTGCGTTTCCTGGATGACAAGTATAAAAGATGCAGTCAAGTGTTACAGTTGTCTGAAGCAAGTCACATTCAGATCACAATTTTTTTTTTTTTTAGCCTTATCATAAGAGGAAATCAAGCTGGCATTAAGAGAGTAACACACTGGACGCTGAGGGTAAAAAAAAACAACAAAAAACAAACTTACTTCAATTAAATGCTTCACTACACAATACTCCAAAGCACTCTATGTTCTCTTACACCACCATCAAGAAACTTCAATGTCCAGTACAGACAACACTACAAGGAAAATTAATGGTTTACATGTGGAGGATGGAATGAACGAACTGCTCCTTACTCTGCTACACCCTGAATACAACAAACTGGCAGGTGTAGACCTGCGAGCACCTTTCCCCGTTTGCAACACGTTCGCTTGTCACCCCATCGCTCTGCACCGCTGGGACGAGTGCAACTCCTTGACCCGAGATGCCCCGTGGTTTTGGCCGAGCCCTTCAGGTCAAGCGCCAAACACTCTGAGGCCGCTTTAGCTGCGGCCTCTGGGTGCCCCAATGAGTCTCATGCTAAAAAAAGGCTCATTTTGTGGGAAATGGGAATTTAACTGCAAAAAAAACATTGGCTACCGGTGGTCGGCACACCACGGCTAACAAAAAATCCAAAGCCTGCCAAGACGAGAACGTGCAAACGGACTCGGTCACAAACCGTACAGCGTGATGGTGATCTGATTGCCGAGAGGGCCAGTGAAATGCAGAGCCCAGGGTTAGGAGGCAATTTTTTTTCCAGTGTTGCTTTGCCAAACGAGGCAAGGAGTGTAAAACCAAAGCAAGTGGGATGCAACTTTTCTAGGAAAGCAGAACAAACTACTATAGAGGAATTGGGTTGCACACCCCTGCTTAATGCCCGACCGTTCCGACTCAAGTCACTGTATGAACAGATGAATGTATCTTCCTGCACTGCAACAACTCTCCTTTTTTACTTACTGAAACATAAGGCTGCCTCCATTTAGGAGAGATAACTTATAGTTTATTTGCCCTACGAGATTACTTACGATATTCTTCCAAATGGCGCAAAAGCTGCTTTTATATCTTCAGTTGTAATTTCTGGACTGAGGTCTCCGACAAAGACATGGAAATGGTCTTTTTGGGGAAAAAGAGAAAAAAGGATCTTAACGTTCGAAGAGAACCCCTGAACACACGTGCGCACGTGCACCCAGAGCATAGCAATCTCATGTAGCACGGCTTTCTGGCTATTACTAAAAACTACGTGAAGACCAGAGTTGACTATGAAACAGGATTTACTGCTGTTCGTAACAGATCCTTTGCTTGGCAGCGCTACAAAGTCAGTGATTTTAAGGATACTACAGTGACACACGGCATTTAGGCTTTGTATTTTACAAAGTGCTTTTAAGACCAGTCAGCATTTACCGTACAAAGTCCGAAAGCTATTTACTTAACGTGCCAATGAGAACTAACTACATGAGAATCTTTCTCTCCGTAGGCTCGTGTTAAGCTTCGACACAGCAGGAGATCACTAGTTATTCAAAACCTGATCAACTGAAACCTCTAGCAGTTTCAAGAAATGCAGGATAACGCTCGTTCTAGAGCGGGACGTGTTTTGCACCTCGCCGCCATGATCCTGATTAACACCACCAGTCATGAAGAACGAATCAAAAAAAATACCTTGCAACAGTTGGCTGTTAAAGCATTTGAGCTCTTGAGAGCCCACAGTTTCAGTTGCCCAGCCAATACACCATGTGAATCCATGTGAATTCAGCGTGTGTGAATCCGTGTGCAAGTGAACCAAGACTGAAGGCAACAGAATGGAAACAGTAATCCCTTCAATTTTTATATCAGAGCCATAAAAAACACGCACCAAAGAGAACCACATCTAAGGAGTTTTCTACTACGGTCGAACAATACGTCACGTACCGCCTTAGCAATACGCAGGCTTATCCACACTACAGCAGGTACGAAACTCTCGAGCCCACTCGGCCGCTGATGTAGTTGAGCCCCACTGGACGACAGAAATTCAAAGCTTGCCCAGGAAAGCTGCAAGCCGTAGGCTCGCCACGCGCAGGCAGCGGCGGGGCCCAATGCTGGAAACGGCCAAGATAACTCCCGAGTCTGCAGGAGCGCAGACCGAGGTCTCATAGAGTGCCAACTATTCTGCCTCCACAGCAGGGAGGCAAGGGGGGTTTGGGTTGTTTTTTTTTTTTTCTTTTACAATTGCACTCGTAACAAACGGCCAGAGCTCAGCACCAGAACCAAGCAGTGGACACTAGATCACTTGCTGATGCCGCAGGGAAAGGACAGGGAAGTCTTTCCGTAAAAAAATAAATTCCTAATGAACAAAACCCCATAGATAGCTTCAGGTGGTTAGTGAACACCCTTGAGAGATTTCATTTTTATGTGTAAGAAGATACAATTACCTTGTGAACGCTGTGTGTTGACAACGGTACTACCTGATGACAAAGATTAGATTTGTTCTTAAGTTTATTAACACAAACACATTAAATCATATCTTAGGATTACGATCAAAATGTTATGGCATATAATTGTATGATGCTTACTGTTTACATTTAACACCTCCTTGCACAAATCAAACACGTACTCAAAGCATAAGCGACACTTACTGCTGGTGTCTTTCTTCTGGCTGCTGGGGGTCGTCGCCCAGTTCACTTTGACCTCCTGCAAACGTCAGTCGCTCATGTTAGATCAAGCAAATGCCAGCTAAGCTCAGCCACCTCCAGCACCTCATTCTGACGCTACGGGGACCAGACGTGCAAGTCTGGGCTGAAAGCTCCAGTTTAAGAGACTTTTCTCAGGAGAGGGTTCATTATTCCGAACTATGTTCCACTGGTTAAGAGCAACGATGGGAAACAGACACGGTCTGGGAGTTTGGTTTGGTTGGGTGGGTTTTTTTGCAGGGGCAAGGAGGGTGGGACGTTATCCTGATAAAAATATTCCTTCTGCCTGCTGTCTCCGAGCCCTCCCCAGTTTTGCATTCTTCCTACCACAGCCTAAACAGCTCTTCTTCTTAGTCGCATCCCATCAAGACCTCCGTCAAAACCAAGTGCCTAGCATTTGCGGTGTATCCGCTTCATCTCAGGTGATATTTCACCCACTGATATTTCACCCGCGTGATCTGAGATAGCCCGATTTTCAACTCCAGCTCACCCTGTAGACATGACAGCTTACCTTACCCATTATCTTCCGGCCATTCATAGCCGCCAGTGCTGCAGCCGCGTGCCGGTGCTCATAGAACTCCACAAAACAGTACGGATCGTTTCCAGCTGTCTGATAAAAAGAAACAAATAAAGGATTACCCACACAAACCTCTTCAAATTGTACTCTCGCTACTCTACTCAGCTCTTTAATGGTTCCATCTGAGCATCTCAAAACGCGCAGGCGTTTTCACTCTATGCTGAGACCATGCCCTAACAAGGCTCCAGGAAGTTTCAGTTCTGCTTCAGAAAGGTAAAAGTAGGGCCAGGATGAACTTGTCAAATCTCATCGACAACACCCATGTACATTTAACCTGTTCACTCCCTCTCACAATATCCACCCAGCCTTAAACTTAACGTCAGACACGAGACAGAAACGATGCCCGAAGCACACGACTGTGATCTCCAGCCTTGGACGTGGTTCGTGCCATATTTCCAGCGGAATTCTGAAGCACACAAGTATGGCCCAAAGCCATTAGCTACGAGAAACGTGAAAATCACTAGGTGAAGGCTCTTACGTCCATTATCATCTTGCAGTTTTTGCATGGTCCGATCTGGCTGAACAGCTGGAGGATTAGAGCTTCGGTCACATCTCTCGACAGGTTCCCCACGTATCTATAGGATCAAATACAAAGTTAGAAACCATCCTGACGCTCCAGTCTGCTTGTCGGTAACTGAGCAAACGCAGCCCGGAGTTGTTCTTCCCCCGAACACCCAACCCGCCAGGTTAGGCCGTTGAAATAAAGCGTGCGGCAGGCCTGTGTCCTCACTCGCGGAGCAACGGGGCGGAAATCGTTCGGTGGCAGCGGGCAGTAACAGCGCCTGTCCTCAGTCCCGCCAAAGGTCTGCGTTTCTAAAATCTCAGCCCGCTTCCAAGCTGAACGGAAAGCCAGGTATGGACAACTCGCCCTTCCCAACGGATTTCCACATATAGAAACGGCTACGATAACCATAGGCAGTCGTCGTTCACCCAGCACCCTAGCTGCCCTAGTAGCTCAACTGGGTGTTTAGCAAGCACATTACACCATGTTTAGTCAGTTCCTTTTAAAAAAGGACTTATCGTTTGAAAGCATTACCCTTGCCTGAAACAACCAAGGGCAAGCGTGCTCCAGTGTGGCCATTCCCCCGTCCTCCTCCATTTGAAAGGATCAGCCTTCCTCAAGCACTAACAGAACCCGAACCCCTGCTCCAATTTGGGATTTTGGCATTCTCAGCGACAAAGATCATCCTCGATCCACAGGCAGGTTGTTTTGTTGTTGTTGTTGTTAAGCCCAAGTCATGGGATTTTTAAAAAAAGCACGCAGAAACCTCAGCTCCAAAGGTGTGGCAGCACCTTTCCGCAAAGGAACGTTATGTGGCAAACCGCGGCCTCTGCAACGAGAGCTGTGGCCAAATCGCGCTGCTGAAACCACGTCAATAAATAGGCAATCCTCCCCATCTCGGTGCAAGAGTTGCAAAGACGTTGTCAGAAAACAAGAAGACAGCAAAACCACGGACTTCTTGCGCTCCTTCTGTTGACAGAAGGCTGCGAACAGCTTTCCTGAAGAGACGGATGCACTCCAGCGTTTGGTTTAGCAGAGGAGAGAAGGGGGGAACAAGACACGCAGCCTCTGTTTTTCTGCCAGAAATGACCCAGCAAGCTCCGTATTAATAATCTGAACAACTATGTTAGGAGACAGACTCATACTCCTGTTTAAAATCAATACATGCTTCACCAAGAATCAGATCTTCACAGACATCCTCTCGCTTGGCAAAGCGAGTAATTCCCGCACTTCTGACAAGGCTTCCTTAAGCAGAGGAGGGTTTAGTGCACTTCTTTAAGGCAATTAACTTTGTGCTCGATAACACCAGGACATTATACCCCATATCACGTTCAACTGAGAGTCATAATTAGCAACACTTCTTTTCCCCTCTCTCTCTCTTAATATTATTGCCGTTTGGACAATGAATAAGCCAAGGCACTAAAGTGACGAGACTCTCATGTCACCTTCTAGGTCTAAGTTTATTAACGGGTTTTTTGTAACCGAGAGTTTCCTAGACATGGTGTCTACACCCTGACCTTTGCGCTCACGCTGGATTTTCACCCCGATAATCAGACAGGCACCTCCTTAACCGTTTCCTCCCTGAAGACTGGGTTTAACTGGAAAAAGCAGGATTTAGGGAAGCGATCTCCGACAGCGCCACACATCTCTACATGGCCAGACCTTTCAAAATGCATCCCCTAAAGGATCAACCGCAGCAACATACATGTGTACATACACATAGAGAGAGAGAACACATGCAATTGCATACCAGACCTTGACCTACTTGCTTCCGCACAAAGGTAAAGCCAAGTCTTGGCTCCTCGTGCACAGACGGGGTCAAAGCATCCCTTAACGGCCACACACAGAACAGCAGTGTTCTACAGAACGTTAAAAAAAGGAGGGGAGATCGTAAAGCGCATCGGTCACTCAGAAAAACAGTTTAACATGGTACACATTCATTCTTCTCGCGCTGTTTGCCAGCGTAACCTCGCTACCTGCGTACATCCGCTGCCTGCTCTCTGCGGCCAGCAAGTCTGGAGAGGTTTCTCCAATCCTCTAGCTGACAAACTACGACAAAGCCCCGCGACACTATCGACCGTGCCAAGATGGATGGGAAAAACACAGAGCTGTAACCCCCTGAGCAACAGTCCCCGTGTTATTTGCTCGGATATACTCCCTCCGTGCTACGCTCCAGCTGTTTGGCCATCCGAACCTTTCCACGGAGTTGTGTCATGGCTTTGTTTCTGTGTAGCTGGTGCACGGGCAGGGTCCAGTGCACCTGGACCTTGTCCTGGACCCGTTCTACATGGAATAACCGAGTGCTGAGGAGACCCTGCCAGGTAGGGCCAGCAAACGCGGGAGGAGGAGATCTCTCCTGCGTGACAGTTCTGTCATTTCCCGCACCTTTCCCATCCCTAATTGGATTCTCATTAACGAGTCGGTCAACGTTTCTTTGTAGATGAAGGACAGTATACGAGGCAAGCTACGCAGACAACTCCATTTATTGATCAGTATAGGGCTTCTTGAAAAGTAGTCCCCAGCTATTGGGCGTTTGTGCTTCTGCCTCTTCAGACACACAAATTAAATCAGAAGTACATGTATTCCACAAGCATCCTATGAAAAAGGCAAACAAGAGGTCTTTGTAAAATTCAAAAACACTGTC